CCTGCTTTTTCTGCTCCACTTTGCACGGTCTTCGGCATCCTTAGTGGTGAGACCATTGGCACGCATATCACCCTTAGCGACGTCAAGTCATCACTTCTTGGGTCTGCCCCTTCTACCGGGGCCCGGCGGAGGTGGCATAGCCAGACATAACAAATGTCTGCACGTAGTATGCCGGTTTCCGTAAGATGTGGCCTTACCAACGTAGGCGGCTTTCTTGCAGTTTACCTGCAATGTCACGGACGGATTATATTATTATAATCATCTTTTTTTTATAATATCAAGTGACGGGTCGCGCGCCTGATGGTAAGCTACACGCCTATACATAACATATCAGTGCCACTCACACCTGTTGATCGCAATGACCTGAGGGGCACTGCCACTGCGCCTGTCACCCTGAGAGAGACATAAGTTGACAAGTCCCATGTGCCTGTAATTTCACCAGCACTCTTACCTTTCAAAACTGAAACTCAGTAATGCTAACATTACTGCTTGGCGGCAGAAATAGGTAAGTATCTTAACTACAGTCATAACCGTTCTTTATTTTATACAAGAACGTTGACGGGGTTAACCGTAAGTGATAAAGCGTAATTATTATAATATTAAATCAAAGAAAAGTAGTAAGTGACGTTTTGGAGTGCTATTTAATCACAGATAGTAGCAAGGTTTATTGAAAAATTAAATATTAGTTTATATGATAAAAATTAAATAGGTTAATACCTAATACTAATGTATTTAACTGCCTCCGTGCCCGAACTGTTACCATGTCGGACTGCCACGCAGAGGTCTCAGGTTCGATTCCCGGGCGAGAAGAAATATTTGTAAGGCTGAATAATTTACACGCACACACTTTTGAACGTTACACATACATTTGACAAATATGTGTGTCAATAGATGGCGTTGTGTTACAAACTCATTTGTGAATGTATTTTTTTTGAATTCATTTATTAAGAAAATCAACGGCATTACGTAAGATATTAAGTAAAGCTAATGACAAGTTTCCCTCGTTTATATATCATTATACACTTCCGGACACATAATTCGGATTGCAGCTTGTCAATGTAAAATAATTAGTTACAAAAATAGCTATTTGGTACTCGTCGCGACATCTGGTGTACCATGGGTATATTACTGCGATAATACTCAAGAATTATCATCGACAAGCCTGAACCATCCCACCCCATATGTTACTAACAATCAGCGGAGATTTTGACCTTACGTAAGTTTATCGCACATTACAAATGTCCATATCTGCGTAGGGGGAAAGTTATCAATGAGACGCTCAAATTGGTACGGTCTGCAGTTCCGTTAGCTAGAACTCACAATGCAAATAACAACTTAGATCAAATAACATTTTCTCTCTACTACTGGTCGACGAGGGTATCAGAGGGCTTGACTTTACGAGTTTACAGATAGGTTAAAGAGGCTACATCTACAATATATTACTATGCGTCATTATACAGTGTTTTTTTTAATGGGAAGGTGTGGGGAAATCCAAAACCATAGAAGAAAATAGACTTAATCACTAGAACGTCGTAACATTCACAATTTGGACATTTTTTGGCAAAATGTTATCTTCTTTCACAATCTGTCGATAAAGCTGTCCACAACAACTACATGACTATTTAAAATTTTATAAAAACTGCAAACATGCAAATGTCATTTTACTCCGTCTTCAAAAAAGACAAACTGTGAATTGTGTGAATTTTTTTTTATTTTTTTATTTTAAGTCTCGATGTCCTGAAATAACTGTTTATAATATTTAAATAAGGTTATGGCAGAATAACAGAGGCCGTGGGACCCCCGCGACCGCTGAGTCATAGACCGTTTTGTCGGATTATTTTGTACCACTGTATTCTTTATAAAATGTATCAATGTACCATGTACCTATTCCGACAAATAAATGAGTTTATTATTATTATTATTATTATTATTATTTGAATGCAATATTTCATTTTAATATTTTAATATGCACTGAGCGTTTACGTGATCTTAGGAATAATATTGTCTGGTCAGAATCACTGCATATATTATGTACGTTTTGATGCATTCGGTGAGACTATGTAGAACTACAGTAAAACTTTTGATAGAACTGAAGCAAGAAGCGCCGTGAAGTCCAAGTTTTATTGTGATTTAAATTCCTGTGGAATGCGGAAACGACGCTGCTGGATTAAAAGCACGCAATTACGCCCAATAAAATTGTGTCAAGGTGAAATCTGTATCCTTGATATAATAAATGCATATGTGATCGTATGTGAAAAGCTACAACAACAACAACAACAACGTACGCATTCATAGCCCCGCACTAAGTAAACCTTGTATCGCGGGTCCCATGAATACACACATAGCCAACCACAAATTACACCCAAACTCACGAGAGAAATAAATGTAGGCCATACAAATATTTCTCCCGGCCCGGGAATCAAACTTGGGACCCTGTGTGGCATGGTAACCGTTCGGCCACAGAGGCATTTGAAATTTTACATTAATTAAGTCAATGACAGATTGTGAACAAGCCTACTCAAACTCCAATATTAAGGTAGATATTAACGCTCTAGTGCGTTAGTTAACAAGATATCGAAGTGTTCTAATTAGATCGGGTAGTAGCGTGATCTACAACCTTTACAATAATGTTATTAGGATATTGTTGGAGTTGGGGCTTTAAGTTTTTGAGATTAGATTAGATGGACCATTAAATATGTAAATTGCTATTTGAGTTGTGCTATGACAACAAATGGTCATTGAGTACGTTCTTATCTCAATAGGGTTGGATATTGGTATTTAGAGAAAACTGGATTCTTTTGTTTTGAAAACAGGATTTTTCGTTGATAATAGTTTCGATTTTTTTATAAGAACATTTTAACGGCAGTATTATGATGTTTTTTGAGGCCGCAAAAGAATAATTTGTGGATTCTTGGAGTAACTTTTTTATACGATAAAATTAATGAAATCCCTGAAAATTTTTATTATTTTTTATAATAGTTAATTACTTCAGAGAAAAAAAAATTGTTTAGGTTTGTTATATTGTTATATGCTTTATGAGTAAATAAGCGTCAAAATTTCTGTTTTTTTATAAAACGTTGTTTACGAAGTGCACACGATTCCATTTAAAATATATTTATTTTCGTGTAATTTAGACAGTGTTGTAACGTAACTGAAAAATATTGTTAATAAAAGGTAGTAAATATGTTTTATGACAAAAATACCATATTACAATTTAACATTGAAAAAAGAGTTAACGTACCTACTGTTTTTACTTTCAAATATTGTCATATTCAAGAAACAACATTTTCAAACTTTAAAAAAATATAGTCACGAAAGCAGTTGCTACTTTTATGGAAACTGGACTATTTATAAATGGAATTAAAAAGAATTGTTAATAATACACAAAAAAAGAAATTCTCAAATTTGATTTTTGTGTTATTATTCATGGACTTTCAAAGTATTTACTATTCGATTTCGACAGATTACAACTTATCAAAATTTTAAAACCTGTTGCTGGACAATGTATTGTTCAGCTTTCCCCGTTCTTTAACTTTAGGTTCTTACCGTACTTGCAATAATATCTCACGTAGTACGCAAGGTTTTTAGAGTGGCGCACTTTGTTTTTTTACTATCAAGAACTTTAAATTCGAAAAATATAACACAATATACAGTGCCGTTGGCATTGGGCCGTTTTTTTCGAAAATTCGGTTACTGTTAATGGATTACGCTATAGATAGATGTGAACAACTCAGTTTTGGCCTATTATTGATGATATGGATATCACTAATATGTCGTTTTAACAAGACGGTGTCCACAAGTCACACAGCCACCAAAACAATGAACCTATAGCAAACCAAGTTTCTCGATTGCAGAATTTCACGAAATTCAGCCGTTAAGTGGCCAGCTCGATCATGCATGTTAACACCACTGGATTATTTTTTATGGGGTTATGTTAAAGACATGGTCTGTACGGTGCCAATCGAATCGATTGCAGCCTGAAAACTCAAAATTCGTGAAGTGAAGAAAGAAGAAAGAAAGACGAGAGAAGAATTTTTGTCAAAAAGGGATTAAAAACTTTAATGAAAGAATCGACATCTGTAACTGTGGTCGTGGTGGACATTTATCAGATATCATTTTTCATTCATGATTGCCAAACCATACTTTTTTAATACAATAATCTCAGTACAGAGTACTAAAAAAACCGACCTCAAAAGTACGTGGAATTACGTCTATTTGCTAAGTTTCATTGAAATATCCCCTAGTTCGCCACTATACAGGACTTGATACTGCAGATAGTAAAAATAGGTTCTCACGACACTACTTAAAGTATATCGGGGGAAAAACGCCTTGAATTGAGGAAATAGCAAAATCAAGTAAATAATTGCTAAAAGTAATTGCTCCTAAATTAAAGTTAGGCGCTATTTATAAAAATGAATCTTCATGCGTGAACAGCCACCCTTCGAGGTGGATGATTTCCTTCAAAATGAAATGGGACCACTATGGAAGTACCCCCTTTCCAACAAAAAAAGAATCATGAAAATCGGTTCACAAATACCGGAGTTATCGCGTCACATACATACAAAAAAAAAAAAAAAAAAGAACATACAGTCGAATTGAGAACCTCCTCCTTTTTTGAAGTCGGTTAATAAAAATTTGAATCATTGTCATTTACATTTATTGTTTTATTTTGATTTACAAAACAAAACTCTTGTTGAAAAACCCTTTATATCAAAACGGTGCGGCTATACTCATCATGTGAGAGTTATCTTATAAGGAAACATGTATGTATGTAAAGAAAAACGTTCAATTGACTGTGCACATTTTGTGTTTGTGAATTTTAAATTATTTGTCATTATAAACGATCTCTATATGAAATATTAAACACTTTATTTCACGCTGTATTTTCTATATTGATCAAAATATCGTCACCGGCAATCGTATCTTGGTCATATTATTCCTCAATAAAAAAAAACCAGTGTTGTGACAACAATGTTATATCGATATCGACATATTGGCAGGATTGACCGCCGCGACGTAGCGGAAGGGGACCGCGTCGATCCGGATATGTTAGATCGTGCGGTGCGGCTCCTACAGCTGCACAACCTAGACCGCATTTACTCCTACCACAGCCGACCAAGGTACGATAGTCGATGTTCCCCAACTGCAAAACATTATGGCTTCATTGCATGTCTATGTACCTTCGTTGTATAGTTAGGGAACTGAGTTTGAGATGTTGTGACTTGGTTGCTCAACACCGTTCCTATTTATGTGCGCTTTTCTAGACTGCTCGGTTTGATTAAAATGCATTTGACCTTGTTGTTGTGATTCAGTCATAATGTGAGAGGTGCCGGGTTCGAATCCCGATATTATTATAAAATTTTAGTGTGGAAGTAATTGGGTAGTATTACCGGCGTTAAGTAATCTGGTGTCATTGTGGAGAGTGGACTGTGGTAAAATTTATTCGTTATTAATTTTGTTTTTTGACCGAATACAATTAATATTTCCGCGTCAAATACGTTTCAAATCAAATGGAAACTTCATCTACCACAGTATTCAATATTGGCAACACACAACGCATGTTTATGTTTATATGTTAAATAAATAAGTTAAAATTAAAAGAAAAAGCATTCTCTCGGTAATACTGATGTCAAAAGCCAGTTTTTAACCCCATTTCTCAAGGTATCCCATATAAGGACGTAGTCAGACAAGGTGCAAACTACATCGCAATTCATCATCATCAACTCGTTAACAACAACAACGACAATAATTCGTGTGAATACGCATTAACTACGTTAGCCTTAAATAAATCGTTTGTTTATTAACAGGTTGCAATAATTGCTAGGATACGAATTGGGAGTGAAATATTGTGTTTAGGCTACGTTTCGTGTGACACACGAGATAAAGCTATTCCAGCAAATACAAATGTCATCCCAATGCTAAAGTTACTGTGGCCACGGTACAATTAGGCTTGATTTACATTCCGCAAAAGGGAAAGGAAGTGATTTTTTGAAACGAAATTGTAAATAACTTAGCTTTATGTCAATTGTGTAATCTGCAAACTAGATACGAGACAAAAAACAGTTAGCTAATCTTCCGGAATTTTTTCGGACAGTCTCGGGTAAATTACCGTTTCGTAACTACGTTTGCACTTACATAATTGATAAGTTCATAGACAAGTTCATAAAAAATTACTTCCTAATTGAGCCTTCAAAATTACTAGTGATATTATTCAACATGAAAAAATATAGGGTGGTGGAAATATAGAAATATTAAATCGTTGTCAAAAATTTTATAACGAAATAGATGTATAAGTTGGTGGGAATACTCCTAGAATTTAACCATTACTTTGACTGTATCTATAGATCAAAGCGAACGTAACGTTTATTAAGCCTCGTGCCTGGGCGTTAGATTGAATAAGAAATATTTATACTACATGATTTTCTAACAGGATTAGCTCGAATTCGTATTAACAACTGTCTATGTACTAAAGTACGACGCTAAATTTTAATCAATCTAAAAGGGATATAGTCCCTGTTACAGCGCTTTACGGATAGAGTTCTTAATTTGATAGTGTAAAGGTTGATAATTAGCTAATCACCTTATAAGGGTAAGTTTAATTCTGTGATCTTTCTATTAGTGTACTTAAATGTTTCGTCAATATTGTATCTTAAATCTTTATAATGAACGTAGTCGTAATTATCTTAAGGGTATAATACAATTACGTTGATAATTTTGTTGTTTTCGAAAATCAAAGTCTTGACCTATTCACTGTTGTGAATAGGGTGTTAACCTAATTTTATTCGACCGAGGAGAGACTATTTCTCCCGTTAAGACTAATAACTTTCACTAAGGATCCTTTCTGATAACGTGAACAAAAAATATCTCTTCCATATGATATGTGGCTGAGTCGTATCAACATTCTGAATGAATTATTTTTTTCGCAATCTGAAAAGCAATAATAAAAGTTGTTTTTATTAATGAATGGAATCACCCCTTTCGGATGTAACTCAATTATGTTGACGCCCTATATACTAAACACAGATACAATATTTTATTGTAATTATGTGTGTATGTTCTTTATTTGCATATGCTTACGGTCATCACTTGATAATATGAAATTAATATAGGCTACATTTTGTTAACTCATAACGCAAAAAGATACAAGTTATACGTTTGAAGAGATTGTCAGTGTATTTGTATGTCTACGTGTCTGTTTGTATGTCTATCTGTGGGATCATAGCTCATAAATAACTGGAGTGGTGACTTTTTAAAACAAATGATCTGTAACGACTGGAGAAGAAATAAAATGGTGCAGGTTTACTTGGTGTAAACTGCACTTGATTATCTAAATACATTAATAATTATTTCTCTGCTTACAGGTTCGGCAAACGTTCGGAGGCTTCGTCGAACTGGGGCAAAGACCTTGAAGTAAGTAGCAGTAGTACCTTATTATAGTACTTAACTTTTAGCCTCAGTCAATCCTTTAGTTCAGAATAACGAGTAGATCTCGTGATTTTCGACTTCACCACTGTGTAGACTTTTGCAAATTTTAATATCAAAGACAGATAAAAACGCTTCTACTACGTACGGGGTCAAACCGTGTCAAGCTTAATATTGTGTTGCTAAAAACATTACTATGTACTTAAACACATTTGTACAAAAATTAAGCTACGAAGTAGATATGCTCAAGATAAATCAAGCTTTGGTTAGTAAAAGATATATTTAATTTTGTTTGCGCTATCTCAGTTAATTTAAAAAAAAGTTATTTGGGATTCTCACTGACAAATTAAAAAAAAATATATTTAAATTGAAATTTTCACCGTCAAAAACAATACTTACATATTACGCGAGAGCAACAACGCAACACTGCGTTTTTCTAAGATACGACCCGCAGCGCTCGCTGCCCGCCAATACCCCATCGTGGCTCTGTACATTCGAGTACATTCATTATGCGTAATTGTATGTTTTGTAAAACTGAGGTACTATATCTTCAAAGACAAATAGACTATAAAAATAAATGACAGTAAAACAATCAAGAGACTATTAAATTTAGTCTCTTGAATTGAATTTCACATTGTGGCGGACTCCAACCGCTCGACTCTCAGTGTGTATTTTGCTTATAATCTCATGTACTCCACCACCTTCAGACTTAATTATTGCCCCGAAAAATTAGAAATCGTTCTAATTTAGTGGATTGTTTTTATCACGGATCTGGAGACACTCCATAATGGATTGTCTCTACTTACACGACGCCAATAATGGCTTGGATTAATGGAATGGCTCGTCGATTGGCTCCGTGTAAACGGTCCTTAAAAAAGACGAGCATGTCTAACAAATTAAATAAATTAGGATAACGCTTTACGAAAACTGAAATTTCAATCATGTGTAAGGTATATTAGAGCTAAGGCTTATAATACCAAATGATGTATTGTTTTGATACCAAGTGCAGGGACAAACAAGTCGTGCACCTGGTGGTAAGTGACACACCTCTCCTTAACAGTTGCAGAACCACTCACAGCTTTAAAACGATCTTAGGGGCAGTGCCACTGCTCCCATAATCCTGAGACATAAGTTGACAAGTTCTATGTCACTAATTTCACCACCTAAGTTAACCTGTGGCTTATATAAGACAAAAATAAATAAAATATTGGAAAGACGTCGATTGAATTAATTTAGGCAAAACGTACATTAGTTTTATTTTGCTCTTTCTGTACTCAATTTGTTACATTGTTTTGTCTTATTTTGTTGTAATTAAGAATTAAGGGATATGGACGCTTACAAAGTCAGACGAGATGTACAAAATCAGAGTAGCCCTAAGGCCTATGGTGCACGCCATGTTAGGCATTTCCCTCGTCGACTGTATACTCAACGTAGAGATACGACAAAGCGCAAAAGTCGTAAGAGTCTAAAATGGAGATGGGCAGGACACGTTGCCAGGCGGGACAGCGACCGATTTACCAAGGCGATCACTGAGTGGTACCCGGTAGGAGCGACACGTCTTTGAGGCAGACTACCTGCATGATGGTCGCACTATGTCGTCGGAGTGGCCATAAAACCGTGGATGAGACTCGCACCGGACCGGTGGAGCTGGCGTGCAAAAGAGGAGGAGGGGAGGCCTATTAACGCCCAGCAGTGGGCAATAATGGCTGAGATGATGATGAATGAATTAAAAATATTGTTGAAGTAGCGTACAGATAATTTGAAAAACTTGAATTTTTAATAATGAATTCTAAACCTTCATGTATAATTATGTTCCGAAACACACAAATTACAGGGAAACTGTGTTACAGACCATGAGGTTTCTTTGTTGAAATAAATTTGAAATAGTAAATTTTTAGTCAGGCGTGAGTTATAGGGAATAATATTAAAATTTTTAATGCTGATCAATAGAAAGAAAACATGGGAACAGCAAAAGGTGATCAAATTTCATTTCACTAAACATATTTTTTTTAACCAAAGAATTGACTTGATATAGCCAGTATAACATAACATGTTTATTTTCACAAAAGAAGATCTAATGACTAAAGCCCTAAGGCAGTTTCCCTGGAAGTTCCTGTTAAAAATCGTATTGTACATCTCCTCTTACAAGTGACCCGCGCTCTCCAGTAGGACGTTTAAGTTTCGTCGAAAGATAGCGTAAAATCTATTTTCACGAAAAAAAGATTTCCCAACTTCATTTTCGGCGCATTTTTCAAAAACGCGTAAAGGTATGATAGAGCGTATACGGTAGTGGTCACGAATCTTACGAGACATAAACATTCTTTTGTTGTGCAAGGGTCTCCATTTTTCACCTTTTTAACTTCCGATAAAACGTATTGATATACATAGATAAGGGCTGGTTTTATAAGAGAGGCAATGTTTTTTAAAAAGTATATTCTTTTAGTGTTTTATTATTAAGCCGATGTGGTTAAAAATCATCTTGGGTGTGTTATTCTATAATAACTGTATTGTAAACTTTGCTAAACTGTAAACTGTTTTGTAAACTGTGTTGGAAATTTTGCGTCGACATAGAAAAGCTTTTATTTGTCACTTACTTAACAAAACATTGTAGCGATTATTGTAGACTAGAGACCGCGGTCTTCGATTTAGGCTGCTAACAGATTGACGGCATGTTTGCATTTAATGCGTGAAGTCGTAATCAACTTCATGCATCCGAGACCTCAACTAGTGATGAAGTCGGTTTTGACTTCAAGCAGTTAATGCGCGAAGTCGTTATAAACTCATGCATTCGACTTCATGCAATTAATGCGTGAAATCGTTACGACTACACGCATTAACTGCAAACATGCAGTAATTCTGTTAGCAGGGTTACTCTGTTTTTACTGTATACTCTTGGTAATTGTTCTGTACCCAGCTCTCCGGTTGACTGGTAGAGAATGTCTAATGGCATTAAGTCTGCCATTTGTACTATTTTACATGCAATAAAGTTTAAATAAAAAAAAGAAGAACCATTAATAATGCAAGACATGAGTAGTGTAAGCTGGTCCGAAGGTAAAAATTATCACTGACCCGAACTCTCTTAAACTTCAAAACCTACAACAAATTACGGCATTAGAAAGGATCCTTAATTCAATTTGAAATGGAGTATAATTTCGCGTGGGCCATGTCCTTCCTATCTGAAGTGGGCTATTGAATTTACTGACGTTCTATTAACACTTGGTGTTCGCTGACTACACGGACAAAAAAACGCAATAACAATGTACCTGACAAACACACCAATAACCTGATTACGTACTACACCACACAACAACACTAGAACCAATTTAGACAAATTCGTTTCCCAAATCGTTCCTACCGGAATCTAATCGAAATCCACGTCATCCAGCACTCTTAGTGTTGTTGGGTTAGCGAAGTTGTCTATAACTAAAACTGTCTTATTTTTATGATACCAAGTTAAGGAATAAACAAATCGCGCGACTGGTGGTCAATGCCTGTTCATATCAGTTACAGTGCCACACAGAGCTCAGATCTGATGGGTACTGCAACTGCGCCCGTCATCTTAAGACATAAGTTGACAATTCCCATATAGGCATATAGGCAATAGGTAATTTCACCAGCGCCCAACCTCCAAAACTGGAGCACAGTAATGCGTATATTACTGCTTGGCGGCACAAATGGGTAAAGTGGCAGTACTTACATTGTCGAACTCTTTCACAAGGAGCAATTACTATAAATTGACAATGTATTTTTTGGTTTTATTGTAATTATACTGTTTGGCCGATAAAACGGCCTATTCTTTACTTACCCAAATGCGGGTTTACCAAAGGAGGCCTCATAGTTAGTTATTCAGACTGGTTATCATGCTTTGCCACTGAGATGCAAAAAGAAATTGATTATTAACCGCACGCAGATAATGACACAACTGCTTTTATTTAAATAGACGAGTAACAAACGTGACGCACACCACCAGGCGCACAACTTGTTCGTCCCATCATTTGGGACAATAAAAATAAAATTAATGACACTTGAAGGTTACACTAAGTTATCATTATATTAAAAATAAATACTTACGCTCAATTTATGTTGTTACGATATTTTTGTAACGATATTGTACATTGCATAATAAACTTCTGTTTCTGTTTCTTCCATCCCGTTCTACTGCAATATAAATTGAGCCTAAGTTTCACAAAAGTCAAATATGTTATTTGACTTTAACATAAATGGATGACACGGACTCACGGACATTTAGAGCAAAGCTTGAAAAGGTTGAATTATGATAACAACTTTCATTTGAACCACTGGCCACATTCACGTTCATTTGAATAAAGAATGACTCCAGTCGTCTTTTGATTTTAATTACCTGTACAAGTTGCAAACATTCGCATAATATTGAAAGGCGAGTTGGGACGACTAGTGTCAGGGCGCGTTACCATTATGCCGTGACGACAGATTATTGTGCAGTTTAAAGTGTCGTGGCTTCACACATGGAACACTACGATAAATGTCGTTCACAACTTTTTTGACGTTATGACGACAGACTGTCGTGACAATGGGAAGCGCTAGAACGACAGTAAATAAAACGTTACGATAAAAATGTGATGACAGATAATCGCATCAAACGATTCAGTTGTGCAAACGACAAGACAGCTGCCGTGAACCGATAAATTATTGTCGTCACGATCTAATGGGAACAGCTAGACACGACAGTCGTTCAACGATAAAAATACATATTCATGACACTGTCACGACATATAGTCGTGATATGGGAACAAGCTAAACACGACAGTCGTCTAACGCTAAATAAAACGTTACGACGTAATAAGAACGCGCACTTATTGCAACGCAAGTGCATCGCGAGGTTATGCGAATGTGTGCGTCAGTACATGGCGCGCGGCGGGCGCGCACACATACAAGCTGCTCTGATACGTTTGTATGGAGTTACCACACTTGTTTTATTATGCTATGTGAGCGTAGTTAGATTCAAAATTTCATGTTCTATATTGTAATGTAAATAATTTGTTTTACGTCCAAATTGACTTATATTAATTAGTGTTGGATGGTATTATATCTATATGAGGGACTTTATTAAGTACTTTCTGAAATGATTGTCACTTCTTCTATCCAAAGATTGCCGAAATGACCACCTGACAATGAACATACGAATAGACAGTTGAAAATGAATATTTTATCATTCAAGATTCAATACCGTTCATTGAAATCCTTTTTGAAAATCCAATAGCTTTTCTTTGCATTGTGCAAGTAAAGAATAGGGCTGCCAAACTTAAATTGAAGCTAAAAAATACCTGAAAACATTCAGCTTTTTAACATGCTCGAATGTGAAACAAAATTAGATTTGAATTATTTTGAAAGTAAAGCATTGCTATGACAATTGATTAATAATAAAATTTAAAAAAAAGAGTTGAATTTTTCCCTGCATAACTTTGCCGATGCAACGGCAATGGCGAAAGTAGTGTACGAAAAAATAACCTTATTTTATTTAGGAAATGAAACTATTTTTTCGGATCTGGCATGTCAGCCGTGACCATGGGATCTGTTAAGATTCTATACAACCTCAAATGGCTTTGGTTGATCCCGCATAACAGTGGCAGTGTTGAATCAACTGCTTTGGACAAAATATATAGTAAAATTTAGGATATACCTACACTGATCACTATACGATGTGAAAACAAGGCGCCAAAAAAATTTTGATAAAACCGCTGTATTCAATAGTTCTTTTACATATATATACCAATGATTTTATTTACATCAGCTGAACAAAATAGAACACGTACAGTATACGATATGCAATTTTCAAATGGCTTTTATTTCTAATGGCAAATGGCGTTATTAAAAAAGTAAATTCTGAAATAAACTCTGACGCAAAATGAACCGTATTAGTACGGGAAAAAATTTAATTGGAAATCTGAGACTAAGATAGTATCGAGTCTTAAGTGCCCGATTGCCCGAAACGTTGGTTTGTTTGCACAAACAAATGTACGCGATTCAGATCCGAAAAAATACATTCATTTCCTTATGTGTAACAATCGCGAAAACTTAAAACTTTATTTTTTAACCGACTTAAAAGAAGGAGGAGGTTCTCAATTCGACTGTATGTTTTTTTGTACGTATGTTACGCGGTAACATTATTTAAATTATTATTTAATTTAAATGTAGTAGTAATAATAATGTGTATACCAGGCAACTACACCAATCACCCATAGTCCCAAACTAGGGAATTCCAGCGAAATTCACCCAGAACACCCAGATCAGAATCAATCTAGAAAAGTTAATTTTTCAATTTCGAGAACCCAGGAGGAACCGTGAAACGAACGCGGGACCTCCTCTTCCTCGTGCCTCAGCCTCGAGAGCTACCTTAGAACGCAAATTGTTACTACGTGCCCACCTTATAACGCTAGTTCAGCTTATATTTCACGGTAATGAAAATATACAATATCTATGTTAATATATAAATCCCGGTAACATGGAAACAATATTATTATATTATAATATCAGATAGACGAACCAAAACAAAAGTACATGACACGATGATAGATAGATATATACTTTATTGCTCAACACACGAACAAAAACAGTACATAGATCTAATGCGATTAAGGATGGCTAAGAGCGATCTCTTTTAGACTACCTTTGAGTTAGAGGAAAGCTAAATAGAGCGGGAGACGTAGTGTGTCAACGGTAAAATTTGAAATGTATAAATAATATGTGCCAGACAATCAACCAACTAAACAACAACAACAACAAAAAAGCACCAACTGCTTGATCTCGAATTAGGGAATTCCCTGTGCCATGAGTACCAGATTAACGGAATTCACTCTGGGGCACTTCCCAGAACATCCAAACCAGAACCAGTTTAAAAAAGTTTATTTCCCAAATTGGTCGTATAGGTGCCCACAATGTCGAGGTCGTCAAAATACATTATAAACTTATATTATAATTGTTAATATCAAATAATAAATAACCATTTAAATAGTATCTACATATATGTATGTATATATAAAATACGTAAATAAACTTTTTCTTAATTATAAATACATATAAATATGTTGCAAACTAATATTAATAAAATAAAATAAATAAAAAACTTTCACTTTACAATTTAAACGGAATTATTGTTTCTATATTTTGTAAATACTATACATTAATCGAGTTTCAAGACTGTACAAGTAGTAGTTACGATAAAATGAAAGATGTCAAAACGTTAAATGGAGTACAACCCTATTTAAAACGATTCTCAAGAAAGGATTGGCATTATAGAATTGCGTTATTTATAATATATAAACTATAAATATTGCGCCAATATTGCGCCGCGAAGCGATAGGGATTTACCCGTGTCATTTTATTAGTTTATCGTATAAGTATGGGCTTTATTCAAATCTCAATGGAAGTTCTAAGTACATGCTTGCAAAGATTTTATTAAACGCGGAAAGAAGCAAAGAAAGAACACTATTGCAGAGGGTTTGCTGGACGAGTATGAGTTACAAGGACGAGAGTCATACGAGTCAAGCAATCCCCTTTCCCGCCGAGGCATGTATGGTATTTTTCTCAAACAATGCGAGGAAAGATTAAAGAGAGGAAGATGTATAATAAAAAGAGTACAGAAATATTAGTTCATATTAAAAGTAATATTTGACGTGTTAGAACAATTGCTAAAAGAAAATTATTGTTTTTCCAGGCCCATTAATAATACTTTGCCTCTGATGATGTGCTTGAATGTGTATATCTATTATTACTGTATTTTTGTTATAACTTTTTTCACTAGCACACATTTTCGCGACCAAAATACAAAAAAGATGACAAAACAAAACACTTTAGTTCAAATTAACACTTTAATTTAACCGTTTAATTAATCCGTGGCCTAACGGTTACCACGCCGGACTGCCATGTAGAGGTCCTGAGTTCGATTCCGAAGCCGGGAGAAATATGTGTATGGCCCGCATTTATTTCTCTCGTGAGGGTGTAATTTGTGGTTGTCTATGTGTGTGTCCATGGCACCCGCGACACAGGGTTTCCCTAGTGCGGGCTATGTTTAGTGTGTGCGTTAAAAAAAAGGTTACGGCCATTTTCTTTTTTTTTAAATTAAGCAGTACATGTAGGTATTTTTATTTCTCGTAACTAGGAACACTGGGCAGTTGACTGTATAAGTTTTTCTTTTACCTGTTTACATAGGCTATTATTGGTAGGCAGATTTAAAAATTTTGGAAAAGAGGACAGTAATGGATAATAAATAATAAAAAAAATCCATTACGCCTTATTGGCTATCTAAATTAGATCTGATTGAGACAGCCAATAGCGTGCTTATATTTCAATTTATCGCTCGCGTCGCGACTATCATGCGTAGCCATGCTACGGGGCAGATGTTGATGCTTAGGCGTGTAAAATTAATTGTAGCAAAAAGTAAAATTAATTAAAAAGGGTTTACTTGTCTCTCGTAGTAGATAAGATTTTTGTATTTTTTTTAAATTTTTCCATTTTCTTTTACATTTTTTTAAATGGTAGCTGAAGCGTTAGAGGTATCTTATAATTCTAGGACGCTAAATATAAATCTTTAGGGACACTTTGTGTCTTTAGGACGTGTGACGCATTAATAATCTTAATGAATACTTGTTAAAATCTGTAATTAATCCCGCTACGTGTACTTAAATTCAAAACGCGTTAAAGTTAAACAGTCGTTTCGACATGCCACGGCATGTTCTTTATAAGCAAATATTTTTAATTGGGTATCATAATACTTTGGATATAATTTCCAGACCAATTATGAAAATTTATAATAAGTTTTGTCATTTTAAATGACTTTGTTTGCTGAATCTTTCAGTGATGACTTGTTGTCTTCAACTGCACAATGGCTGTATTTATGTTTATCATATACCTTGCAAAGCTAAGTTGCCAATTAAAAATTTACGCAAGTTTATATGTTAAACATATATATGGTGTAAAGCGACACGCGTGTCCATAACACTAGCACTGCCACTCAGAGTTTAAATCGCAAATATCTGAGGGGCACTGCCACTGCGCTCGTCACTCTGGGACAAAAGTTGACAAGTCCCATGTGCCTGTAATTTCACCAGCACCATTACCCTTCAAAACTGCAACGCAGTAATGCTCATATTACTGCTTGGCGGCAGAAATAACTAAGGTACTTCCCTGGACGACCTCTTTCACTGGGAGCTCTATTGCTACTATTATTTGTAGTACGGTCGTTAGTGTTTTGTGCTTTAATTACTTTGGGATTAGACCAACGTATGCGATGTCGTCTAATATTTATTTATATTTCGTTTATTCTTGTTTTCAGAAGCCGGATTTACCAGCTTGGCTTTCCTACGCCAGAAGGAGATGAGGGGTGCAACAGCGTTACCCTTTCCAGTCATAAAGTTCGTGATTACCGCTTACATCACATTTACCATACCGGACTCATGTATAACACGTCATAGAATAAGATCTTTGGTATTTCACCATAATTAGACTGAATGTTGTAGGATATGGTCACCATTTCATGTACCTACTTCTACTGCGTCTAAAGCTATAGTGTATCTACATATTTACCATAGTTATTATATTCTATATGTGTAGAGTACTTACTATTTGTTTATAGGTGTGAACTCAGTTTTAAAGACGTAGACTTGAGGATTATCACTAGTTATAGGGCATTCATTCATGGGTTCATTTCTGATAAACTAAATAAAATACAGCTCAACTTTCGGATACATTTTCCTGTTGATGGTACCACAGAACCTACCAAAAATAAACTCGTAAGTACCAGCGTGTGAATAGAATATTAATATTTATTCTTCACCCCTGCATTGGGGATCCGATCGGCATAGAAAATAATATAAAATAAAATGTATGATCGGCTTTACGGGATCAGGGGGTCGATTCTGAATCTTCCAATAACTCAGTTGTCGACCGATTTCTTTTTATTTTTATTTACAACACCCGAATCGAACGTCGAAACTGTCGTATTCGAAATCGAACCGAAATGACGTCACACCCGTACGATTACTCGAACTTCTCGATCGACAAAGTAGCCTTTGCCGGTCGAGAAGCCCGAGTAATCGTTATTCAGAACACAGTCATCGAACGAAAGCTATCGAACGTCCTATTGTTTACAAAACAAGAATGTAAAATGGAAATCTCTTATTATTGTAAATAAATCAGGATTTTCTTCAATTTTAGCAATTTATTTTAATGCAAGACTAATGCACTCCTATATTTTAGGCCTTTAAAGTCTTAAAAATGTATTTAAAAGAATTTTCATTTTTCTTATAATCCATTTTACCGACTAACTCCGTAAACGCTCTTGGGTAACGATAATTATAATAATTATTATAATTATCGTATCCCAATCCGAATCGAACGTTTAATTCGAATGTTATTATAATAAAATAATGTTAATACCTCGGAAAGCGCCCTTCGATTCGAAAACTATATCCATTCGAACGATTCGGTAAAATGTCGAAGAGTTCTGAATCAGGGTCCAGATGGGAATAACTCCTCATATTTCCGAGCGGTTTCTTGCTTCATGGTCAAATGCTGACACGCAAGTGGCAGTCGACAACTTTAAAGACAGAAATATATAAAAGACCTCTTGGACTAATACCTACTTAATTATTAATAACCGGAAAAATAAAATTCAGTTTTTTTTATTGGGTCATCGTCAACCTTCTTTCCGACACATCCATTTATTTATTTAGTAGCTTATTATACTTTTAATTAGAGTTCACGTCTTTCCATATATATTTAGACATAATATTTTAAGAATGTTTGCCTATGTATTCGTACGTATACCTCAATATCTTTTTTCTTATACTGTGTACCTACATATATAACTCAGTCTTCTAAATTCTAAATTGTACTTTAAATTGTTCGGACTCATGTGTACCTAAGTTTAAAGTTAAATTCAAATAATAATTTGTAATTTAATTAGTAAAATATCAATGTACCTAATGTTATGAATGAATACAAGCATTTGAAAAAACGTAATATTTAAATTTTTGTTTCAATTATTAACCCTTTCTGTTAATGCGATCGCTGCAAAAAGTCTCCGTGTGTAACCGCCCATCGGGTGACGAAAGTTTGATGTGGTAAGGTGGGGTTTAATTCTACAAATATTTATATACCTACATATTATAGATATATGATATTGAAAATGACTTGAATATTTAAAAAAAATATAATATAGATTTGTGCAGTCATTGGAAATGAAACAAAAACTTAACCATAATTCCGGGTTTTATTTAGATCCCATAGTCATGGCGTATTGATTAGTATAATTTTTCGACTTTCAAAAACACGTCAAAAACTCGCCAAATATTCCCACAGATTAGAAACAGTACTAAATATAGAATTCAAATGTATTTCGCATGAAAGTGACTTAATGAAAGAACGTCACATAATCATCAACTGTGAAGTGGTACGATTATTACAGTTTAGTAATAGCACCACTAGATAATTGCACCAAACACTTTACACGTTCATCATATTATGTCTTGTATAAATTAGTAAAGAAAAATTTGTATGGTAAACCAGTGTGTCAGCCAACGTTTAGAAAACACAATACGACGCACCAACAGCATGAATTTGTACACTTGGTATAATAAAGTGACATGTGACAATATGTCAAAAGTGCTTTTGTCACGTGAAAGTGATAAAATAGTACGAATTAAGACATGAAACAGGCAGACAGAAGCACAAACAATAATCCACTTATTTCGTTCGTAGAATCTTTAAACCTCTCTCCTAACAGTTGTCATTTTGCACATGTGAACTTATTACAAGAGAGTGCGAATTACGTAAAGAATTTGGAGCTGTTTTCGGGTCTCTGGAATAAAAATTTATTTCATGTTATTCTTTTATACGATTTACTAAGCAATTTACAAAGATTAACATGCCATTGTACCCTGTGTTACAGTATCCCGACCCCCCACTGTGTGTGTGTGTGTGTGTGTGTGTGTGTGTGTGTGTGTGTGTGTGTGTGTGTGTGTGTGTGTGTGTGTGTGTGTGCGTGTGTGTGTGTTTCTGTCGATCGTTAACAGCTTGTTAGTTTTTTACCTGCAAACGTCAAATATAAATAAGCCTGTTCCGACATACGAGATAAGTATAGTAACTGCATACAAACGTTGCAGCGTAATTTGTATGTGTACGTGATGCGACGCACACATTTGCATAATTTTTTTCTCTTTATTTATTGAAGGGTTTATTATTAATAGAATACGCCACCGGCATAGGAACATAGCAACACTCAAACATACTACATACAAATCAATACGTATTGATAATTAATAATAATAATAAAAACGCACACACTCAACATAGTCCCGCACTAGGGAAACCCTGTGTCGCGGGTGCCATAGACGCACACATAGACAACCACAAATTACACCGAAACTCCCGAGCGAAATAAATGTAGGCCATACAAATATTTCTATCGGCCCGGGAATCGAACCTGGGACCTCGGCGTGGCAGTCTGGCATGGTAACCGTTCGGCCACGGAAGAGTTTCATAATTATCTACATAATCTTGCGATGCATTCGCGCTGCATATGAATGTTTGAATCCATACATTGCGCGCGGCGAGCGTGCACACGTATAAGTCGCACAGCTACTTTTGTATGGAGTTACCATTCTCGTCATATTACGAAATGTGTTGACATCAGTAGGGATAGCAAGAAAGGGCGCAACTTGCGCGAGAAAGAAAAGAAAGCGCGCTATTCTCGTATAGAGATCTTGCGTTTCATGTCGCTCTCGCGCATGTCGCGCCCTATCGTAACCCTACAATGTGCAATTGAAACGTAACTATGGATGTATAGCAATCGTTGAATAGATAACTTGATTCTGTCGAGAAATCGATTGTGACGACTGTACTTAAGATGTAGACGCGTAAATAATATGTCATTTACGATTTTACGAAATCAATTATAATTGGTAAGACGGTAAAATAATACGCGAACCATAATTTGTAAATACTGTTTGGACCGTATTTTAAAGATTCGCTAAACGTACCTTTGGATATTTTTAGAGCTCACAAAAAATAAAATTCCAACTTTACCTACCCAAACACAAAAGAAGAGAGGCCTTAAATCAATCAAAGAGCTTGATAGGATTTTTCCAGTTGACTAACCATATAATCGTCTATGTAATTTCGATGCTTACAAAGGCAAAAATTCTTTAAAATAAACTTAAAGGGTTCTTTGTAAGTACCTATAAATGAAGCGACTGTTGTACGCTGTTCAAATGATAATTTAGATATTTTACCTAAATAAATTACGGATGCTTGAATAAATGATTTACGGCATATTTACAATAAATCAAGCATGCTAACTCTATACAAAAAGGTAGCAGTGCGGCTTGTATATGTGACGTACATATTCGTGTAATGTCGCAATTACGGAAGTAAAAAACAATGGAAGTGCCTTAGACCTCGATTACTATCAGAACCGATGTCGCCAAAACTTATACATTCCTTATTTGAAACACTACAAAATCTTGATATTGATTGGTCGTAGTTTCAAATTTAAAAGAAATAACAAATTCTGTATTGTTAATATATTTGTTTATAATATAAAAAAAATTTTTTTTGCTGAACGACGACGAATTGGAGTTATTTACTTAGTTCTCTAAAAAAGAAGCGACCATACTGCAGGGGTATAAGCTTTACTTTCGTTTTTTGTAACATAAAAATCTAATTATTTCGATAAATAGAAAATTGAAAATTTTTTAAATATAAGGCTTTCCGATGATATGAAATACCACCACGGGTAATATCTTTGGTGCGGCTATTATTTTTGCAGTCCAAAAACAACTCAATAAGGCATTTTTTTGGAATTTTAGAGAATTTGCACGAAAGAATGACACAACTATAAAATACAAAGCGGAAATGGCGGACTGAGCTCACATAGGTCTTTGAGACCTATGGTTGGCACGCGTCAGACGCTAACGAACCACTTCTACTGTATTTATTGTTCTGTGGTCGCAGTGCACTCGCGTTACCAGAGCTGCGATATTTAAAAATGACATCAAATAGCAGACATGTTTATTATCGAGCTTAAAAATTCAGAATTGTTCGGCAATTAATTTCCATTCCCATAATTATTTAGTTATTTCAAATATAACACGAGAATACTGAAAGAAAGAAATAAACATTTATTCGGCTATTACAAATAAATATATACAAAAAATAGTAACAATATTAATCTAAATTTAAATCAAATAATAGACA